TGCTTAATTTCTAATCTTGCTTGAACTTCTGATCTCACGGACAAGACCGCATTGCCGAACGTCAGACCAGGAACCACGACCCCTTTCCATATTCCTCTCACAACATCATACCTATTGTAATTCCAGAGTGCCCTATCTTTCATCACTGCTGCATTCCTGTTACCTTTAGTCGTTACGTTTTTTTCAAGTTCCCTTAGGTACTCGGTCCCATTGCTTATCCATACGCTCAGATATTTGTATTTATCTCTTATCTCTGTGCAGGAGACCTCCTCTATCCTAAGCTCACTGCCTTCATTATCATTAAAAATCATGACTACTAATTTTTCCTTACTGAATCTGAAATCTAAGGTGGCCCACCGAAAAAGAGCACCTGGGGGCCGAGTCGCGACACAACTCAGCTGCTGGCGCTGAGACGACCAGCCGCAGTGTACCATCAAAAGGTAACACTCTGAGAGCACGTGCGCGTGCTGCTGCCGTGCTTCATTTTGGAACGAACACCTCGAAAAGCCATTGCGCCAGTAATACTGCATTGTGGTTTAGAAAAATAACTTTGTCCTAAAGCTACTCTCACATAAAAAGCACTAAACACAGAGAGAAGCCCTGCAAAGCAGACTGCGTCTATGCATATATAGTATCAAAGGGACAGTTCTCTGCCGTGATGGCAGCTCCCTCGTCCTCATTTTCTGGTTGTGTGCTTTGTTTTGGGCTAATCTAGTGCTGGGGGACATGCCCTCATTAAGAAATTAAGTCCGTGCTGCGACTATACCATGCTGCCAACATCTGTAGTAAAACAAAACAAAAGCAGAGTAGGTGGTATCTGCGTCTTTTTTTTTTCCTGGCATTGTTTGTACGCCCTGTCTGCGGTACTTATGCACGGGAATGTTGACCCAGCACACCACCATGACAGCATAGCACGTGTGGTGTCGCGCTGCTATTCTTGAGGGAGCGGGATAGATGAGCGTGACAACTGCGGCCGCACTTCGATGGGGGTGAAATATAAAAAGAGCACCCGTGAACCCAGATATACGTGCGCATTGGAGAACCCCAAGCGATCACAATCTTGATACGCACTCTATACAGCATACCTCAAAATGATATCTTGTTTGGCACATGAAAGCCTAGCAGTTATCGATGTTGAACAGACAGCGTCATTTTAGGCCGACACAGGCAAGCGGAAAAACTGAAACTGTGTGTTAGGCAAATTAAACAACGAGTAGGAATCGAAGACATTTGATACTTCTCTAGCAAGGCATATATTTTAATGTTACTTAGCCACGGCAGCCAAAACACGCTTAGTGCGTTTGCTGTCTCCACAAAGCTAAGCTTCAAATAGTCCGCTGCTTTGTTCGTATTAAGAACTTGGTGTTTTGCACAAATTAAGTTATGCAGAGGCATCTTGGCATCGAGTGCTCACCGCGAGCACAGGCGTAGGTGAACGTGACCCCGCACAAGTATTGTGGACAAAGAAACTTTACTTTACACGCAACAGTTCACACACAAAACAAGAGGACTACTTGCCTAGCGTATGATTCACTTCACGCGGTGGCATCAGATGGAGTTTGGTGGTGATGGTCAGATGGATGGACGCATGGTAACTGTTAGTCCTGAAGTGCATGAATCAACGCTCAGCGGCCTCATAAAAAAAAAAGTTTACATATTGCGCCTGTTCCATAATACGCTCGTTTTCTTTGTTTCTGGCAAAACGCCTTTACACTTGAATGTTTGGCCTTGGTTTTCACTGGTGGCTGTCTTCACTATCGAATAAACAAAGCAGACACGTGCCATTCGGTTTCGAAAACGAGCCTTACAGCACTTGACAGATGAAAGAGAGCGTAATTTTGCTCACCTGACCGCTTGAACACAATGCTGCCTCCTATTTTTACCTCCTTCATTTCCTTTATACGTCCTCCCTGCTTTTATACACTGTTGCACTTGAATACGCAGCATGCCACTGCCCTTAAGTTTTGTTACGGCAATGCGCGCTCGAACCGCCTCTGCCAGCCGCCACTCTCGTCTGCAGGAGCAGCTGAGAAGTGCTCGCTCTCACCGCCAGGGCGGTCGTGCAAACGATCCTAGAGCAGAGGTTTAAAACTACAGCTCAAGGGGCTAGGCTAGAAAAAGACGAAGCTATTGAATATATAAGAGCAAGAGTGACAGAAAAATTAAATCGGAAGCGAAAAAGCTATGCAAAGACCTTGACCTCCCTCGAGTTGTCGATGGCATCACAAATGGTGAGCATGACTTTTTAAAAGTGTTTTTTAATGCAAAGACTCACAAGAGCAATATGCCTTTTAGGGTAATTGTTTCAGAATGTGATACTTGGCAGAAATCGATTGCTACTTTTTTGCAAGAACAGTTGAACCGGCTTGACGTTGATGATCCTTTCATTGTAAAAAGTTCTGATCAAGTCATAGATTATGTGAAAACTTGTGTTGATGAGCATGTTTATGGTTTTTCAGTCGACGTGACTGATTTGTATTATTCTATTCCCCATGATCAGTTGCTTCCTGCGGTTGAAGAGTGCATAGATTTGTTTGGCTCTGTTAGATTTCAAACCGAGTGTGGTGTTCCTGTAAGTCGGTTTTTAGAACTTTTATCATTTTATCTCAAGACGACCTACGTTTCATGGGATGACAAGACTTTTATTCAAAATGACGGAATCTGTATCGGGTCTTGCATTGCGCCCATTTTAAGCGACATATTTTTAAGTAGAATTGACAGATCGATTTACCTACATCTTGATAATTTGAAGATAAAAAAGTGTTCCGGTATGTCGATGACTATATTATTTTATTAACTAATGACACGGTAGCGGACGAGGCAGGTTTGGCAAAAATAATTTCACATTTTTCTGAGTGTTTTAAACCCTTGACTCTCACACACGAACTGCCTGAGAGCAATGCCATAAAATTCCTCGATGTCCTCTTCACCTTTCATCCTAACCGCATATGTTGGGCGTACCAACCACGTACGAACAAACCGGTCCTTCCTTACCAATCAGCTCACTCTAAACTAGTGAAAAGAGGCATCATCAGTCATTGTTTTCGTCATGCTTTAAGCAAATCTTGTGAGCACGAAATTGCCAATAGTTTTCATAATCAGTCAGACCGTTTGTTGAAAGCAGGTTATCCTATGCACGTCCAAACTTCAGTTGCAGAAGGCTTGCTTCGTACGCTTCGCAACCCAGGATGTACAGCGAGTCGTGATGCCGAGAAACCGAAGCACCTAGTCGTCATACCATACTTTCACAAGATATTGCACAACCTAAAGAAATTAGCTAAGCGCTCTGAAGTTAGGGTTGTCTTTTCGGCTCCCAAGAAGTTGGTCAGCCTTTGTGGCCTTCATAACCGTGACGAAAAACCCAAAGGGTGTAGTAAGAAGCATCGAACTGTTTATGTTCCCTGCATCATATGCGTTGTTTATCGTATCCCGCTTTCTTGTGGTAAAGAGTACATTGGACAGACGGGCCGTTGCCTTAATGATCGATTAAGAGAACATTGTAATAATGTGAAAAACGGCCAGGGGAGTTGGTTGGCCATACATTGTAAATCCTGCGGCTGCGCGCCGATATTCAATGCATGCACAGTTATCAAGAGAATGTTTGATAATCTTACTAGAGAGATTATTGAGGCTGAGGCTATCGCTTCACTAGGGTCTAAGTGCGTCAGCACTCCCACTCTTACGCTTAGTGATAAAGAATTGTATTTTCTAAGAAATTAATTTTTTGTGCGCATCTTTCATGTCATGTGATATTTTTTTGTGATATAGGCGAGCGTGCGGTGGTAATAAACATTATGTTGGAAGTTAGCGCCTGTGCTGTGTGTCCTCTTCTTGTGTCCTCGTTTCTTAGCGCTATTTTCAGTCGTTACTGGTCTGACGTTCGGAAATGCGGTCTTGTGCATGAGATGAGAAGTTTAGCAAAATTAGGAATTAAGCAACGTGAAATAGGTAGGCTTGCTTTAGGAGCTCACGGGAATACACCAAATCAGGGAGTACAAAGTGATATGGGATGGACATCATTTAAGGGCAGGGAAGCTAGCAGCAAGATAAAATTTGAGAAGCGACTGAGAGAAATGGGGGAGGAGCATTGGGCTAAGAAGGTATTCAGCTACTTGTACCTGAAGAATGTCGATACAAAATGGAGGAAGCAAACCAGAAAATTGACTGTTAATTACCTAGACAACAGCAGGGGGCAAAACCAAAAAGAATTATCGGTTAAGAAGAAGGTAATGGAAGCCGAGGCCGATGTGTGGAGAATAGGCATGATTAAGAAGTCCGCACTAGAGATCTATCGAACTTTTAAGCAGGAAATTGTCAAGGAAAGGATCTATGATAATACTCGTGGTAGTTAACTACTGTTTGAGGCCAGGACGGGAGTATTGCGAATCGAGACATATCGGGCCGAATACGAAGGGATAGACACGGTATGCAGTGCATCCCGGCTGCGGCGGCTGCATTTCCGATGGAGGCGGAAATTTCGTAGGCCCGTGTGCTCAAATATGGGTGCACGTTAAAGAACCCCAGGTGGTCGAAATTTCCTGAGCCCTCCACTACGGCGTCTCTCATAATCATATGTTTTTTTTTTTTGGGACGTTAAACCCCACATATCAATCAACAGTATGCAGTGCGTGTGGAGAGGAAGAGCAAACTGCCGAACACCTGATAATGTTCTGTAAAGGGCTTCACCCTATAGTTCAGGGTGGCGCAGAGTTTTTCAAAGCACTGGGATTTAGGGACTGGGAGTGCAAGATAGACAATAAGCGGGTAGAATTAACAAGAAAGTTATCTGAATGGTGGCTAAAGTCACGGCACGAGTGAAAATTAAACCCTTCACTGCAAAGTACTAGTCCTCAACTTTACTATTTAATGAAAAAAAGATAAATCTTGTGGTTAGTTCATTAAAAATACAGCTAGGTGGCGCTAGCCGCCGCCTAATTTAAAGGGTACAGCCACGTTCATTCATCCATTCACCCAACGGAAAAAGAAGTATAGCCAATAATAGCCAGAAAACTATGCTACCTATGCGTCCGCGTCTCGCAGATCTGGGAGTTTTGAATGTGTTATCCTGGTGTTGTTTGCATTATTTATTCAAGGTGTGAGTGGTAACTTTATTCGTGACCGCTGCGTAAAGTGAAACCGCGACGGGCGACGTCCTCTAGGTGAAACGCGCGTAATAATGGCCTTCTTTATACTTCATAGCCTCCTAACTAGAGGAGGCAGTGGTGCAATGGACGGCATTCTGACAGCGACTAGTGCATCGACGGATGTGAAACCGAGTGTTGAAGACTTGGTTGACGAAAATCATTCCGCGAACGAAGTTGCGGTAGACGTGAAGCCTACTGTTGATCACGGACATTATGCGAATGATGTTACGATGGACGTAAAGCCGAACATTGAGCATGATGCGAATGAATTTACGTCGGACGTCAAGCCGTTAGTTGATCACGGACATTATGCGAATGAAGTTATGGCATTGCTGGACGAGAAGCCCAGTGTTGATGATGGGCTCCATGCGAATGAAATTGCGGAGGACGTGGATCCGTGTGTTGATCACGGACACAATGCCAATGAAGTTACAGTGGACTTGAAGCCGATTGTTGATCACAGGCATAATGCGGATGAAGTTATGGAATTGGTGGATGTGAAGCCCAGTGTTGATGATGGACATGATGCGAATACAGTTACTCTCTGTGAAGGTAACGTACAGCTTATTTGGTAATCTTTGGCATGAATATAATAAACTGAGGAGTGCCTCTTAAATCTTATCAGCCGATGTGGTGATTGTTTCATTAGGCTCAGGCTTATTACAGTCGCGTTATAGCAGTGAAATCCAAGAAGTGTTCAATGAATGCACAATATGTAGTCGTCCTGTTTGTTTCATACTAAATGTTGCTCATATTTTATTTGGTGACTTTTATCTGCTGGATTATATAGATGTTTCTATGCAAAGCACTAAAAATTAGTTAAATGGGTTAGTGATAAAATGTGCGTTCGGTGGCAGTGGTCGAACTTCGGTGTAGGCGAAATACTACAGGTGCATGTACTTAGACATAGGTGCACGATAGCGGGCCCAAGGTAGGCTAAATATCCAAAGCTATGCACTGTTATGCCTCATAATTGTGTGGTTACTGAGAAATTTTTACTGAGGCTCCCATTATAGTACTTTTCAAACATGATACCAGGCATTGCACACGATTACACGCAGCCAGCATTGCGAAGTGCGTACGTGCGGGCCTTATTTACTATTTTGAGCATATTTATCTACAAAATGTGCTACCCGGCATTTATTGACCTAATTTGGTGTGTTAGCCCTCCCCTAATTTCCCAAAAACATAAATGGAAGGGCCACTGAAGTGCTGAGAATTGCACTCTTCGCCAACAGTGTACTTTCCGGTACCGTCTCTCTCGGCATAGTGTTCTAGAATAGGTGCACTGCGTTGTAGTACACTATTCTCTCGGGGCAATCATCTTAACGACCGCCATGCTGGATGAACAGTGTGTGGGGGGGGCCGAGGTGATTGGGGTCATACCTTATGCACGTTCATGTGTGTGTTTTCATGTGTGCGCATGTGCAATGAAAAATATCTAGACTGCGTGGGTAGAGTGGGAGTTAAGCAACTTCTCCTCCCCTACTAGCTATGCCGCTGGTGAAGATTCTCAGATGAGCCATCAAGCTGCTGTAAAGTTTACAGTATAAATAATACCTCACTTCCAACATAAACGAGACTATCTACTCGACTACCAGTTCTTAAACTAAAGGCAACAATTAAGTTAACGTTGATTGAAGTAGCGGTCCAGAAACCTCGTAGTGTCACTTTCTAGCCAAGGAAGGGCCTATTTTGAAATAAAATCTTGTTTTAGTGGTCCGCATAGGGTTAGCGCACTTCAAGTTACCCGCCTTAAAAAGTGGACCGACCAAACTGACTCACGTCACTATTGCCATGCACAACGTTGCCCGGCTTTACTTCTATTGTAGCAGTACACCGAAAGCAGCCGGAGCCACAGGAGCAACAACGGCCATTGATCGATTTCCCGTCATTGGCTCCGAGATCGCAGATATCGTTTGGATAAACTGCGCCTCGGTAGATGGCACCACCAGTCCAGTGTAACTAACGAAAATAGAATTTTTGAACCACTCATGCCATTCCCCATAGCAATGGCTGGCAGTTTTTTTTTACATTAATCAAACAGAAACAAACAAACAGCATTTTATCATCTCTTGATGCATGGAAGGTTCTTTATTTAGCGCAGCTAGATCGATTACTTGTGACTAATTGTAGGCGGTCTGTCTGATATCATTGGAATAATTTTGAGAATGTCCTACTGCGGCGTATTTTTTATTGTGCATTTAACTAATTTCTCGGTAAGTAGGGCACTGTTGTAGGTAATATTGTCGTCTTAGATGTTGTCATACATTGAGCTTTCACTCTGACGTAAATTGTTATTTGAATTTAGCGTCTCTTTAATATAAGTTTTTTTTTTCACTTGTGTAGCCATACGACAGGCTTTTTGTCTCGGGGAGCAGGGTTCTCGCCTGAAAGCGAAAAAAAAAATGAAGCGTTTGTATTGCGATAGAGTTTATCTATGCACTGCATCAATGCTAATAACGTGCCATAAGACTTACATACTGAATATGAATAAATATTTTTATTAAGCGCATAAAACACACCTTCAATATTTGCAGAACTCCCCAGGAAAGTAGCATTTGTGACTGTAAATCTCTAAGCTGGATGGCTGATTTAGAAGTCTCCACACTGATTACATTCCTTATAGTGCACTTCTGTTGACAATGGAATGTATATGGTAGCCCCACTCCCATTTCGACTTCTTAGTTGAAAGCACCAAGTTTGCCGTCTGTATTGTCAGTGGGTTTCTGCTGAAGATTGCTCTTGCAAGTGCAACATTCCGCTTCATTTACGTAGGCGAAAATCTGGTGGAGATACACAACCTAAAGAAAAATATTTTTCAAGTTTGTAAAATAATAGCTTTTTGTAGTATCATTAATTTTTGGCTAACACATGGAGCTTTCAGATGAGGTGCATATTTTTAGTCTATCACCAATACGGGTTTTCTCACACTGAATAGAGGAGTTTTTTCCCCCAAAAATTGAAGTTTGCAATTTTTCAGACCATTTGCTACAAATTTCGTGCCTAAATTATTGTTAATTTGTAATATGTTAAACAGGACACCAGCAGATTTGTGTCCTTCGAGCTTGCCGTGCTCCCGATAACAAATTCGTGAATCGGCAATCTAATTCGATATTATCGTCGGAAAGTCCTTGGAGAATTGATATGCATAACTGAGTCATTATTTTTACAGTCAAGTCGCTTCATTACCTTGCGGCAAATACCATTTTATCGCATGCATTCTAATAACATTAAAAATATATTGTTCTTTGACGCTCTCTATCTCAGTCGGCGCCACACTGCAGACTTTCATAAATAGGAGGGTGAATTTTTGGTAATGGAAAAAACGACTAGGATGAGTTTCAAACTTCAAAAAAACATGAGGAAACTTTTTCAGCCATATTCAATAGGGTCAGAAAAACACTGGATGATTTGACATGGAATGACCCAGATGGCAACTTGTATTAAGCATGTCCTGAATAAATGTACTGCTTTGTTAAAGTAACACATTTGCACTGGCAAAGGTTGTCGTATAAACTGATTTATAAGTGCAGAAATTTTTGTTATTTTGCTGCTCAAGTCTAGTTCTATGTGTGTGGAATATCTGATTAGCATTACCTTGCTGTGCTTCCTGTGGCTATGCAGGTTCCTTGCCTGCGGCATCTCAGGACCAGTACCATTCACTCGTGTTTGTAGAAGATGGACTGCATTCCTGCCGTCAGTGTGCATATACAACCAGGATTAAGGCGAACATGAGAGTACACCTTCGCCGACACACAGGGGAGCATCCCTTCCAGTGTCACCTTTGCCCGGCTACTTTCACTGCGAAATTCCATCTCACAGAGCACATTCGCACTCATACCGGAGAGCGTCCTTTCTCCTGCACGCAGTGCAATGCATCCTTTTCACTGAAACACAACCTGAAGGAACACTTGCGCACCCACACAGGAGAACGTCCCTTTTGCTGTGTTCACTGCAGTAAATCCTTTTCAAAGAAATGTAACCTGAAGCAGCACATGCGCACCCACATGCCCAACCGCATTATAGAGCGACCCTTTTCTTGTGGCCAGTGCAATGCATCCTTCACATCCAGATTCCAAGTCAAGCAACATATCCGCACCCACACAGGAGAGCGTCCTTTCTCTTGTCTCTACTGCGATGCATCCTTTTCACGAAAGCGGGATCTCAGGAGTCACGAGCGCATCCACACAGGAGAGCGTCCATTTTCCTGTGATAATTGTGATGCAGCCTTTGCGCAGAGGCGCAACCTCGTGCTGCACATGCGCACCCACACAGGCGAACGTCCCTTTTCCTGTGGCCACTGCGATGCATCCTTTTCAGTGAAGCGCAACCTCAGTAATCACGTGCGCGCCCACACAGGAGAGCGTCCGTTTTCCTGTGGCCACTGTGATGCATCCTTTTTATCCAGAAGCAACATGAAGCGACATATGCGCACTCACACAGGCGAACGTCCCTTTTCCTGTGGCCACTGTGATACATCCTTTGCACGAAAAAGCAGCCTCGTAGTGCACACTCGTACCCACACAGGAGAGCGTCCATATTCCTGCATCTACTGTAATGCATCTTTTTTCCGAAGAAGCACGTTCAATCGCCACATCTTAGGACTTCATCCCAAGGAAGCCCTGAAAGGCAGGGGTGCCAGTGTTCCTAATGTGGAGGTAACTTGACTGATTTATTCTGCTAGAAGGTGACCTTATAAAAAAACAAAACTCTTTACTGCCGAGTGTTGCAAATTCACGACATGCTGGAAAACTCTGAGCAAGCAAGTGAAGAAATTTGTGCCGCCTTTAACGCCGGTTGTGAAGCTCTCACAAGGGACATAGCTTTCAGCAGGGAAAATCTAGCACTGTTTTCTGTAAAGAATTTCATGCTCGAACCAGGTGTTGTGTAGCTGATGGTAGAGCTTCTCAATGCATGCTCAACGTCTCTCCCTTCATTTTTGATCCCCTGAGTAACATAGCTTACTCTTCTGTAATTTTTGTGGCGTAATAAATGCAAGCTTGCTACTCAGAGCTGAAAATAAGAAAAGAATTTTTTTTGGCCGTGTGATAATTCAGGAATTAAAAGGCCAAGGTGCCCCGAAAAGTTTTCACAATCCTCGGCTGTTGAGTTTAGAGAGACATAATTATCCATAAGAATTTCTTAGGTGTTCAGATGACATTGCATATAATACAGGAAGTTAAAGGTTTGGTTTGCCATAAAAGTGATACATGTGAAAGTTTCCAGTGCTATGGTTCTAAGCACTGAAAAATAAATAATTACCTAGCTTATGAAATATTTCCCCTTGCGTATTAGTATGTTCGACGTAACCTGAAATCCCTTTATGCACCGCTGCAACGGTAACTGGGTGTGGTATCTGGGTGAGGTTCTAGGTTTTTGCAGTTTTTTTCTTTTTTCTTTTTTCAAGTACGTGGCACAATCACCATGTGGTTATGAGGGACGCTGTAGTGAGGGTTCTGGAAATTTCAATTGCCTGAGGTTCCTTATAGTGTGCCTAAATCTAAGTACACAGGCCACTAGCATTTTTGCCTCCATTGGAAATACTGCTGTCACAGCCCAGATTTGATTCCGCAACCTTTGGGTGAGCAGTCGAGCATTATAACCACTGGGACATTATGGTGGGTCAAAGTTCTTTTAGTAATGAGAAGTATAGAGTTTAATCAAAAAGGCAATTCTACATTTGATTAGATCAACTTCTTTGCCCCGCCGCGGTGGTCTAGTGGCTAAGGTACTCGGCTGCGCACCCGCAGGTCGCGGGTTCAAATCCCGGCTGCGGCGGCTGCATTTCCGATGGAGGCGGAAATGTCGTAGGCCCGTGTGCTCAGATTTGGGTGCACGTTAAAGAACTCCAGGTGGTCAAAATTTCCGGAGTCCTCCACTACGGCGTCTCTCATAATCATATGGTGGTTTTGGGACGTTAAACCCCACAAATCACCTTCTTTTGCAAAGTTTTGTCTGCAAACTGTTGATCACTACATGAATCCAAGAAATAAATTGAGGAAACCTGTATATGCCTGTGCATAGCTAATTAAGTAGAACAAGCATGAAACACATGAATAAAAATACCAAGAATGCAGTAATACATGTATGGCAGACATAACTGTTCTTGATTTTGTTTTGGAGCTTTTTATCCAAATATAAGAAGCTCCAAATCCCAGAAATGCAGAGCCGGGCTACGTTAGCTACCTTTTGAAAGCGAAGCGCTCACTTCTGTTAGGCACACTCGTGTACTGGCTTTTGTAAGTGCGCATTGAAACGATGCAAACACGGTAGTAATTTTGAAAGCCCGTCGTCTCGTTATTTACCTTGTCTCACCGAAGCAGCCTGCTTCAAAATGTATTCTAAATAAAGGTCCTCATGATTCTTTTTGACGCTTAACTTTCTTCCCTCATAGCGCACTCTCATTTGCCGCGCATTACGACGTCTTTCGGAACCCTCAAACGTACAAAAAATTATTCAAAGTATCTCTGTGCACCTGGGTGCCGATAGGAAGTATATGTAGGGGCGAATGCAGTCGTAGTCATGAAAATATGCGAGGAAAAGCGAGCGGGCGAAGCGTGCCTACTTGCACATCAAAGGTTTTACCTGGTGTTCGATTCACACGATTAGCGTAGTCAAATACTACCCAAGAGCCCACCATCGTCGTTTTTTAATGTCATCACAGACATGTTCAAAACCATCTTGCTTAATTAGAGGCATCACACGCAACATTACTGGCACTAAAATAATGCGAAAGCCACGTAAGCTACAATGTGCCCATCCCCTTTCTGCCCTGAGCAATATGGCGGCGATCCACTTCAGCCACAGAGCCCCTCCGCCACTGCAGTAGTTTTAGTATAGCCTCCTTGTCTCGTGGTCACCCCCTTAACTTCGCGTGAACCAAAATTAGTATGGGAGGGTAAGATCGTTTTACGAATACGATGCGCTGGTCAAGACATGAATAATGTCACTATCTCGTCACGTACGTATGTCAAACACTTCCAGCCAGGCATTGGCACATACCCACGGGCGGGTATGTGCCGCGGATGTGTTGCACAGGTGATCGACATAAATAAACAAGACAACGTGTGCATTGAAGATCTACTAAAATACAGACAAAAATTAGCTATTATTAACCCGGATTACACAAGGAAGTAGCAATTTTATTATATTTTCAATAAGAAGTGTCATGTTATGAAACCAAAAAACACAGGAGTTGAGAGGAAAACACAAGCTTAAAGAAATCAAAAATTTGTAAACGTGGTTTGTCGCTAGTGCCATCATCCCAACATGCGGACCTCTTCAAGGTTTCAACTGCCTACCTTATCTGAATTGTGTACGGCAGATTTGTCAAGATGAAGGAAAGACACATACAATGGTGCTAACCATCAGCAAATGACCACAAAACATTTCAGATACGTTGCACCGACAAGGCCGACAGTCTTCCATTGCCTACCTTAGTGCATTTTATATTGCCGCGACAGGTTGGCCACGTTCAAGTAGCCCGCTGCAATCATCGTGGCGCGAGGACCAGCAAGGCCCGGCTGGCATGCGCCACGCGTTGGTGCACTCGGGCTACGAGGAAGAGGAAGATAGTCGAATCTGTGCCACTCGGCTGCTCGGACTCGACGACCATAGTCGTTAGACTCGTGGGCACAAGTTTGCCCTAATAAAGACGCTTGTTTTTTAGCCTGTCTGCCTCAGCATCGCTACATTTCTGGTGGAGGTGCTGGGTAATGAATCGAAGCCCCACGAGCTCAAGACAGCGTAGCCCCGACGACTTGCGTGTCAACCCCGTGGAAGTGACTCCTGTACACCAGAGGGCAAGTCGCTGTATTCGAGGTGACTCACCTGAGTTCAGTCCTCTTCACTTCACGTATCAGTCATCATTTGACTTCCCACCAAGGGGAAGTCAAATGATGGACGCCACCACTATGACTAGCCAGGTAACACCGGCACAAGTGTTCATCAGCCAACCGCACCAGCCGCCAGTATTCCACGGCGACTCGTACGAGGACGTTGAAGATTGGTTGGACCTGTTCGAGAGAGTGGCGAGCTTGAATGGATGGGACGAAAGAAAAAAGCTCCGTCGTGTATACTTCGCGCTGGAAGACTTCGCAAAGACATGGTTTGAGAACCATGAAACCTCGTTGCCTACGTGGGAGGTATTTTGATGACAAGCGGTGACTACGTTCGCGAACATAGACCAGAAAGAAAAGGCGGAAGCTGCTCTTCAATCGAGGAACCAGCTCACAAACGAGAGTGCTGCCACGTCTGTTCAAGCGTGCCGATTACAACACTGGCTGAGGATAAGAAGGTGCGCCATCTAATGCGTGAAGTGAAGCAAGAGCTGTTCGCCGTTCTCGTCCACAACCCTCCAAGCACAGTTGCTGAGTTTTATTTGGAAGCGACGGCCATCGAAAAAACACTGGAACAGCGGGCTCGGCAGTACAACTGGAATCTTAACTGCGCATCTGCGCAGGTATTTTCTGGAGGCGTGCGAAACGATGTTGAAGCCTTGCAAGAGCTCATTAGATCAGTTATTAGGAAGGAACTGAGTAGACTGCAAATGCCCCAGACTCCAACTGCACTATCTGTTACAGACGTTCGTGACGAAACTGAGGCAGGTCATACGAGAGCCGGAGCGTGAGCTGCAGCCCGTTCGACCTATCCGAACATACTCTGAAGTTCTCAGACAACCCACAGTACACAGCAATGCAGCAGTTGCAATGGCGGCGACTCCTCTCCCACCTGCAGCACGCAGCGCACCTCGTCCACTGGAACCAACGGCTACCTATCTGCCCCCAGGAGCAGCACATAGCACACATAGCTATGTGAAGCATAGGCCCAGGAAAAGTGACGTCTGGCGTGATTACGAGCGCTGGCCTCTGTGTTTTTATTATGGCGAAGCGGGTCATCTGTACAGCTCTTACCGACAGGCTGGATTAAGAGGCTTCCCGTCGTATGCACCGTGCCCCCGAAACGGCGAATGAGCAGCGGAGTTTGAGAAGTATTTATCCACGCGCCAGAACTCACCACCTCTACGCCAACATTGGTCACGGTCACCATCGCCTATGCGCTACCGGTCATCCAGCCCACGTGCACCTTCAAGGCAGCCTGGTCATCGTTCTCCAAGTTTACTCCCGGAAAACTGAAGCAAGGGACCTGTGGAGGTGATGCCAGTGATAATATCAGTTACGAAAATCCTCCAATATGGCTTGAGGGCCGCGACGGTGTATTTCCGGTAAATGGGTGCAGCAACCAAAATGTGTTACTTCATATTTGCAGTTGAGAATGGAAGGATGGGAGCTGAATGCCTTAGTCGACGCCAGTGCTGATTATTCAGTGATAAGTCACAAGATGGTGAAGAAGCTAAACAAAGTTGTGACACAGTCGAGTTGATAGCAGGTACGCACGGCAGGTGGTCACATTAATACGCCCCTTGGCAGATGCACTGCAAGACTTGAAATGCAGGGCTTCATTTACGTTGCCGATTTCATTGTGCTACCAGAATGTAAGGAGACTCATTATAGGAATGAATTTTTTTGCGAGCTAATGGCACTTTAATTAATCTACGTAGGTCCAGCGTGTCATTTTCGACTGAACAAGCTATACCTGTAGAGAAATCTGAAGAACGATGCCTAAACTGCTCTACGCATTGTTCATGATGACGTAACTGTGCTGCTACGCTGCAGTGTAATGGTGCTCGTAGAGATTGACGCATTGTATACAACCCGAAGGCACAGCAGATACAAATGTAAGGCTGTTTTTGAACAAAGATATCTGCGTAGCTCGGGGTCTTGTTCACTTGA